CAACAACGACGACGACGACAGCTTCGGCTCTTCTGGCAACAACACCTCCAGCTACGGCTCGTCCGGCAACAACAACAGCTCTAGCTATGGCTCCTCCGGTAACACCTCGGGCCGTCGCAACAACGATGACGACGATAGCTTTGGCTCCTCGGGCAACAACACCTCCAGCTATGGCTCCTCGGGCAACAACACTTCCAGCTACGGCTCGTCCGGCAACAACAACAGCTCGTCTGGCCGTCGCGGCAACAACGACGATGACGACAGCTACGGCTCCGGCAACAAGAGCAGCTCCTACGGCTCCTCTGGTAACAACAACTCGAGCTCCTACGGCTCCTCGGGCCGCACTGGTGGCTCCGACTCGTATGGCTCCTCTGGCCGCACCGGTGGTTCCGACTCGTACAGCTCCTCCAACCGTAACGACGACTACTAAAGTGCTCTCGGCTTCGTGCCTAAATCAGCGACTTGTTTTTGCTACATAATGATGGGAATGATGTTGACCTGAGGTACTATAACTCAGATCTAAATTGACACCTTGATTATACGACCGTGGTAGTGTGTGATTTGTGCCTGTCTATACGTAACACGATGAATTCGGTGCAACAGTAGGATATAGCTATTTTTAGGTATACAGTTTTAACGATGCATTTACGTATATAAGTACTTAATACCTTGTGCTACGACAACTCCTTATCTACCTTGACCAGAATCACTCCCTTGCTCAACCGACCCTTACCGTCCCACAAGTGCACGAAGCGATACCCGGTCGCTAGGCGATCCAGACGGACGCACGCCCACGCCGCCAGGTCGTCCCTTCCAACCTCGTCGTCGCACACCTTCAGCCGCACAAACGTGAGCTCCTCCACGACGTCCCGGACGCCCCTGAACGCGAGCACCTGGCCCTTGAAGTCGGCGTCGGCGCCACCGTGCGACGTGGCGGTGCGCGCCTTGTACTCGGCGGCGGCGGGTTGCCGGTGCGCGAGGTCGTGGCGCGGGTTGCCGTCGACGTGCAGCTCCATTTTGACGTACGGGTGGAAGCCGTCGTCGGAGGTGTCGCCGGACGGCAGCGGGATGTGCTGGGCGGCGAGGAAGGTGACGGAGAGCGAGAGGGTCTTGCGGATGATATCGTTGGCGAGTGTTTTGGAAGGGAGGCTAGGACGATAACCTGTCGCAAAAAGTACTGTGTTAGTTGAAAAGTATTACGTAGCCCTGGAATTCGGTTGGGAGAAAGAAGAATATACCTGGCGGTTTCAGAATGTATCCTTTTGTGCCGGCAAACATGCCCTCGTTCAGCATCATGCCCTCGTCCGTCTGCTGCCAGTTGAGCGCGACGATCTGAGCGCCGGCAGCCCAGAACGGCGCCGGGTTGAGGTTGGAGCTGCCGACGCGCAGGCCAGACGGGTACGCGCGCAGCATGTAGTCGCGGTTGTGCGCGAAGAGCGCGGCACCGCCGTCCTCGGCGGCATGATGGTGCGCGGCGAACTTGCCCTCGGACAGGGAGAAGATGTGCGCGGGCATGGTGGCCTCGGGCTGCCCCCACGACTTGAAGCTGACGGCGCGCGTGTAGATGCCGAGGTCGGACAGCGCGCGTATGATCTTGGATGGTTTCTTCTTGGCCGCTTTGTTTGGGATATCGCTATCTGCGCGGGTAGTTCCGAGGTCTTGCTCCTCCCCGCTGTGACTCGAATTTGGCGGCGCATACTTGACCTTGACGAGGATCTTGCCGCGCAGGTCGGCCAGACTGGGCAGCACGGCCGGTGTCTTGTTCTGTGGCGGCGCGACCACAGCGACGTCGCCCCAGGCCTCCCGCATGATGTCGACCATGACTGCCTGCTGCTCGGGCCCGCAGTGCACCTCGAGGCTCACGATGAGGGGCAGGTCAGTGACGTCAAAGGCGTGCTGCCGGATGGCGGCGCAGACGTCACGGAAAGGCACCTCCTTGGTGAGCGTGTAGCCGTGCAAGACGCGTGGTTCGTGAGCGAGCGAGGACGATGAAGATGGCGACGACAAGTGGGAGCTAGCGGCGCGCACCGAGGTGAGCGACTGGTCGGCATCGACGAGGCGGTGACTGGCGGTGCGTTCGAGCTTGCGCCGCAGCGCGCCGGTCTTGCTGAGGCGCGAGACAACCGAGTCCGGCAAGCTGGCTTTGAGTCTGGCGAGCCTGTCCGGCTTGCTGTGGTCTTCCTTGCCGGCCGCGGCGTCCTCGTCGGAGGAACTCTGCGAGCTCTCGGCGTCGCTGCCGGTGCCGTCCCAGACGTCAATCTCGACGCAGCGGCAGCCGCGGCGCAGCACGTCAGCGTAGGCGGCAGTGGTGCTGTCACTGTAGAGCTGGTTGCCGCTGAGGTAGGTGTTGTGGCTGGAGGAGATGAAGTAGGCCGAGAGCGGCCAGGACAGGTCCTCGCTGTCGCGGGGGAGGTTGGCGGCGGCGTCTGGCTTGGACATGAGCGCGAGGAAGCCATCGAAGTCCAAAGGGGCCGTGTCGTCTATGACTAAGCCCTGTATGTTGTGGATAAGGTCGCTGGTCTGGTCGGATGTCTGTGGGTGTTTGGATCCTGTGTGCGCGTCGTAGATGGACTTGAGGTGCTTCCTGACATTGGGTTGGAAGCTCTCTACGCCAGCGCACTCGTCGCGCGGGCCGGGGCTATCCATGGCAGCGGGTGTCTCTGGTGCCGTCAATAAAGTCGACAGGATCACTCTAGCCGGGCACAGTGCCTTGGGTCGAGATGTGGTGCGTCCCTGGCCAAGGGCGAGGGTGTTGAGGGAAGAACGAGGAGGGTGAGGCAGGCACAGCTACTAACTAGTGGAGGCCTCGCAAACGTCGTACGACCAGGGCGCCCGCGGAGCTTTGCTGTCAATTAACTTGGCAAAGATCTTTGTGAATTCTTTTGCTCAATTATTACTGTGTATTTCTCAACAACTCTAATAGCTTCCAAGGGCGTCTTAACACTAAGCCCTGCTAACTCACAGAGGTATGTAGATGTTGAAAGTGCGGGCGGGGTAGCATGCCGAGACCGTCATGACCTCACTGGCTGACGACATTAATTACAGCTTGGTAGTGAAATGCAAATCCATCAAGCCCAAGTCAGCTATAATTTTGAGTTCTTCTAAGCTAGAATCCAAATTAATAAATAACGCCACTCAAAGAGCCCCGGTCAGCAGTACCCAAGACTCGGAGGTGCTTCTTACCCGCCACTCGTATGTCAGATCCCAATCCTTGCCCAACGAACAAGACTGTCTTACTCATACTCCATGCCGCTGTCTCGGAAGCGTCTGCTGGAAGTCGGTTCGATGCAGCATAGCATTCCCAGACATACATGTCGGAAAGACTGATCTTGTACTCTGCAGAAATGTAGCAATAATGTGTGAAACTTTGGTCTGCGTACAACCATCTTGAGCAGATGCGATGCAGAGAGTCAAGTGTAGAAGCCGAATAATTGTGAACTGTCACCTACAGCTTTGTTTTATCGTCTGCACGCAGCCGCATCGTCTGCACGAAGCAAGACGCAGGACGCAAGACGAACAAAAAGCCGACATGAAAATGTTGCCTTGGGCTGAAGCGCAATATGGATGTTTTCTGAATCCGGACATCTCTGAATGAATCGGTGACAATCAGAACTAGGGAAAAGGGGCACGAATAGAAGTATAGTTAACAACAAGTCTAATGACACTGGTTAAAAAAAGATGACAGGATGCAGTCGAACAAAATTCGGCCAGTTCGTGTCCTTTATCATCTCGCCCGGCTTAAACAGGTTTCCGAGCCGATTCAATGTTGGCGTTGTGGGCTGCACAGCTGGCCTAGAAAGCTTCAGCAAGTTTAGAACTGTTTTCAGGTTCGTCGGCGTCCATCGTGTCTTAAGATGTACATTACCTATGAAGGAAAAGAAAAATAAGGACCTCTAAAAAAATGAAGCAAACGTCGGCAACTCACCTACCTTACTTGCCTGACCGGTTTCCACTTCTCGTTTGGACATCCCCAGCCCGATTTTCTCCTTCCAGCAGCGATGTGATGAGCGGAGTGACGATTCACTTCGACAAGGAATTTAATTGGCACGTTGGCCAGTTTATCGTTCTTGCCCAACTCTGACTGAGCCTTTACTCGCATTCAGTGGGAGTCATTTCGCCAATGATTCGCTGGGTCATTCAGGAGGATAAGGAAAAAAGAGAAGATAAAGGAGCTTAATAATAGGATAACAAGATTAGAGAGGATACGGAAGATTGGGAGGATAAGGAAAATAGAGAGAATATAGATGCAAAAATATTTACAAATGTCAAAAAAGAAACTTGCGGCCAGTGTGACTCGAACACACGACCTTCAGATAGGTATCTAAATCCGCAGGATTGAAGTTGGACTTCAGTCTGACGATCTCCCAGCTAATCTATGGCCGCTAGTTGTTTCCGCAACCGTTGCTAAATCAACTTATAAAGTTCGCTGCTCAGCTGGCCAAGGACGCAGAAGGAGAAAACATGGAATCACTTCACTAGGTGTAGACCCAGGTCCAATCAATGTCATAATGAAACAGAAACGCTCATAAAATCACAAAAGTGTCCTACCACGAGCAAAATAGAGAAGGGAGTATGCCATTATTGCAAATGAAATGTAGCTCGCTAATCGTCACCAAAATCCGCTATTCGTTAATAACCGGGAGGTTGTTCAATCTTATATCACATATTCCGTGTACTTTTCCAATGTTGCATCCCATCACTTATAGGGTACCACACTACTTGCTTATTACACGCGAGCAAAGGCCCGCGCAGCATCCACCCACAAACTCGCGACGAGCAGCACCGCGTTGAACCCGGCCATCATGTAAAACGGCGCCCCCGTATTCACCTTGTCAAACAGGAAGCCACCCAGCTTCGTAAGCAGCAAGATTGCAGCGCCACCGAACAGCGAGTAGACGCCGGCGATGGAGCCCTTCAGACGCACTCGCGAGCCGGCGGCTTCATCCGCCGCGATGCGAATGCGCGGCCCCCGGTCGTCCCCGGACTCGTCCTCGTCAGGGGCCAGAGAGGGGCCGGACTCGTCGCGCAGCGAGGTGCGCTGCAAGTCGACGGCGAGGACGCCCTGCCCGAGGATGCCGAGGCTGCACACGATGCTGCCGATCTGGCTGATGCCGATGAGCGTGACGACGAGGAAGACGGCGGGCGAGCCGCCGCGGCCGTCCACGTTCTTGATCTCGGGGCTCTTCAGCTGCGGCAGAACCAGGTACCCGACGATGCCGAACAGTGTCGCGATCACGATGGGGTAGTTGACGCGGCTCTTGCGGCTCGACACGTAGCCGAAGACGGGTGCGCAGAGGAGGCCCATCAGCTGCGCGACGCCGGTGAGGATGGACGAGAGGATGTAGGCGGAGCGGCACTCCTTCTTGAGCTCGGGCGAGGAGTCATGCGGCGATCCGGTGCAGTAGCCGTTGCCGATGAAGTAGGTGTTGACGTAGAGGGGGATGAAGAGCGAAATGGCCACCGTCGACGCGCGAGCGACGAAGCCTCCAATGTATCCGAGGCTTATTCTAGAGTCTTTAAAGGCTAGAAGAACAGAATCTTTGAGCAAGCTGACGTAGGGCACTACTTTCTGGCCATGCTCGTGGCCTTGGTGCTGCAGCTGCCTCTCATACCAGCTCCTACGGCCGAGGAGCACGCGCCAGCCCTTGCCGTCCTCGCCATGAAGATTGCGAAGACCAATAAAGACAAACACGGCAACTAGAAGCGACACCACTGACACGACATAGAAGCTGTATGCTACAGCCTCACCAGGCGTAACGCCATCAATGCCGCCAAATCTGACGGGCAGCGGGAGGAACAGGACCAGGGCCAGCAAGGCGCCGCAGCCGGTGAACAAGCCCACGAAGCCGGCCAGAACCGATGGCTTCCTCGCTTCGGTAGGCCCCGTCTCGGGCGCAGACCCGTCTCGCTCGCGGGACAAGCTGCGCGAGTACCTCTCCGGCGTGATGGTGATCTCGGATTCTACGGAGAAGACGGCGCTGTGACGCGGATTGCGCGAGAGCCTTGCCACCGGCGGCTTGCTATCCTTGGCGGCGCCTGTGTCATTCGTTAGAGACGGCAGAATAGCCGTCACCATGGTAGCGCTAACATGCACATCGTCAGCAGGGAGTAATACACGGAAGAACGGTGGGTGGGGTGGCGCGCAAGTGCGACATACGCGGCAGAGGCGCCGACGGCAAAGAGGATGCGCGCCAGCAGCAGCTGCGGATAGACGTTCCGAGCCTGGACGAAGAGCGCGAGCGCGGCGGCGATGACGGTGTACCCGATGGTGGCGACCCAGCGAACGCCGAGCCGATCCGACACGAGACCCCATGCCGGGCAGGCGATGAGGGCGACGAGCTCGTCGGCGAAGCCAAGCGTACCGACGATGTTGCCAACGCCGTGCTTGCGGCCGATGAGGTCGGTGACGACGAAGGAGACAGAGCTGTTGAGGAAGACGAGGAAGGAGATGCTGAAGAGCGAGATGCCGAGGAGGTAGGTGGTGGCCTGGAGCGCGGTGGTGGAGGGCGAGAAGGGCAGATGGCGGGAGATGGAGGGCGCCATGCTGGGCGGGCGGGCGATGCCGGGCAAAATACGGCTGGGTGAGTTTGGGCTTGGATTCTATGTCGCGATGGAGAAAATTTGAATCCTGGATTGAATGGGCTCACATGGCGAGTCTATAAATTGTCTCAGTGGAAAGTGAGGATCGAGCCCGAGCTGGCGCGGACCTAGCATCGCGCTCCGAGCACCCCTTACATAATCCATACCAAGCACAATAAACAATAATATTGTCTCGAAAATTGCGCGTTTGTTATAATACGCAATTGCTAGTGCATAATTCGGGGCGCAGGATTTTCCATTCTACTACAGCGATACTATCTCCGTCGATATTGTGTCCCGTGTTGCCCGCTACTTCTATCCGATATTTAGTGATAACGGAGAAGACTGTCCGGGGTGTCGGCAAGGTACAGCAAACGCCAAACGCCCGCATCTGCCACTTATTACCTATTATCTGTAGCATTGACAGGAACAAACCTAACCTTATTTTTCCATCATCTCCCTACGGCCTACCTTCCACCAGCATCTCTACCCCGAGTCCACGCCCAAGAGCTCCTCCAACAGGATGGCGTTCTTCGACCCAACCTGAGCCACAGATTAAGATTACCCCGGTTTTGTCAGCCATCCTCTAAAGGCAAAGGTGCCGCTAAACTCCTGCCTCCCAGCGATCAACTGCCGCATCGCATGCCTCAATTCATTTATTAGCCGAGACAGGATGCCGAAAGCGCAGTCCAAATCGAGTTTTACTGCTCGACAGCCGCGATCGAGTCGCTCCGTAGCGGGCTGTCTCACCTGTCGACGCCGCAAGGTCAAGTGCACCTCGCTAGCCACGCCGTGTGAGCCGTGTCGTCGTCTTAAGTTGTCCTGCGACGCATCTTTTCATCAAAATTTCAAGAATTGGTCCAAAAATACGACGAATGATGGCCAGGCTAGTCGCGAGGAAGCAACGCGGGGCAGCTTGGTCGAGGGATCGAGGGATGGCCAGAGTCGAGGCACAAGGACAGCCGCAGCCGCAGCCGAGGGCGTCCTCCGAGAAGAGCCAACTTCAGTTACACAAGAACTGTCCAAAGAACCCGCACAACGGAGTGCAACCACTCGAGATGCTACCATGGAGAATGCGCCAGTGGAGGGCCCTTTCGGCCTCTTAGATTTCATCTTCTCCGATTTGGCCGATGAGATGACTCCCGTCGACTTCAGCACGCCGGCAAACCTCGATGCCTTTTTCAACTCCGACTGGGCTATCCAGCGGCCCTTTATCCCTGGCTCCTACGAAGCGGACAAGGACAATCCCTCCAACGATGCATTGGTTCAGCAAGCTGCCGTCAGCACACCTGCTGCAACCTCGCGCGTCTCAACGGAGCAGGTGATATCTGGTGCCTTCACTCACGGAGCCCTAGACCCAACAACCAGCCAAGCTTTGTCCCGCGTGCCCGAGTTCATGTCTACTAAGCAATCTATCTACACGTGCTTTCACTATTTGGTTCATTCTGCTCAAGCTATCCCCAATTCGCCCCTCTGCCATGCCATTCTCGGATGGGTGTATGCCTACCTCGCCCGATTGAGCGCCGGGACGGCTTCGTCGCGCGATGAGCACTATACCGCCGCTTCCGAGGGAATCCGAGCCTTGGTGACGGAGCTGACCGCGCCGCTCCTCCCTGAGCTATGGCGGCGGACAAACACATCAGAACGACTATCGTCATACCTCTCTGCCACCTTCTTCGTCTGCCAACATGACCTTATGATGGAAAACTTTTCTTCCTTCATAAAACGCATCGGTGAAGCGAAAATGGTTTTTCAACACCATTGGGCTGATCGTACGCTCCCCGGACCGGTAGAATCCCGGATCGTCATCTGGCTCGCTTTCCTTGAGCTGCGCTTCTTCTTCCTCGGCGGCGAACGGTATGCATCCACAGATGGCCAAAAAGTCTTCATGACGATATTGGACGAGGAGACCAAGGCGCTTCCCACACTACGCCGAGCACGCACGCAAAAGTCGGTCCTAAGCGAAATGTTTCCTGACAACTTACCGCAGGAGGAGGACGAAGAAGACTTGCGCAAAGATCGATGCCGTGTTCAGTTTGACGACTTTATGTGTCACCTCGCTAAGATGAGAAACTTTGCTGCATGGGATGCGATGCAGGCGCAGCGCCGGGACGCAGATTCTTCACTGCTCAAGGAGCTGCGCGAAGCAAAGGTGGAAGCGCTGCATGCGAATTTGCGCAGACTGCAAGCAGTATGACCACCGAGTCCTCCGTTCTTGCTCGTTTGCATTCCGCTGACTGGAATTAGGAGTGTGAGCTGGTAATATCATCCAGCAAGGTCTTGCCCTCGAGCGACCGCCCCGTCGACAGCATAACGTTTCACATGCTCACAGTCCGTGCTCTCCGATCCTGCGCCGTCATCATGTTCAAGCGCGTGACGGACACAACTTCTCGTACAGACGCCGAGTGCCAGGTTGCTGTCGCCGATATTGTGCGGATCGCGAGACTTCTCCGTCAGAGCAAGTATCTGCGCTCCCCTCGCTCGACAATCTGGCCTCTTCCGCTGTACATTGCCGGGATCGAGACAACTGATGGCATCTACCAGGACTGGATTCTCGACTACTTGAAAGAGCTCGGTTCGTGGGGCGCACACATGCAGTTGGCGGCCGAGGGGTTGCAACACACCATTTCGCTGCAGGAAAAGACTGGCTTTAGGGCACCACTGACGTATGACTCCATTAATCTATGATGGTTGTAGCGCAACTCTCGAGAATCTATAAATTATCTACCGAACTTTCTGTTCTGTCCGTCTCTCGTGGCTCCGCGGGTGCCTTTATGGCGTCTCAGGACGCTTGATGTCTTCCGCCGCAGCTAGCTTCCTCGACTTTGGCCCAAGACCTCTAATCGACAACGGTCCGCTCAGTTGAAACGTCTGGAACGTGCCCTGGCATGGCGGCCCTTTGCAGACCGTGATGGTCCGCTGCGTCAGGTTGTACGTGACCGACGCGACCGTCGCCGAGGAGCTGCGGAATGGGTATCCCGGCAGCTGGCCGATGACGGCGTCCGGCGAGCGGTCCGGGTGGCAGCACAGCGACTCCGGAAAGCTCAGGTGGTCGGCAAAAGCGCGCTGCAGCTGCTCGACCGTCACGAGGCCGTTCTTGTACGGCCGCACGTTCTGCTCCAGGCGCTGGCGGCGGAACCAGCTGCTGCCGCCGGGGTAGCGGCACTTGGCGTCGGGCCGGGCGAGGAACGCCGTGTGGGTGAAGTGGTTGGAGTGGACGAGGTAGTGGTCGTCGAGGTCGGCGTAGACCTTGTACTCCCTGGTGGGCGTGATCTCGAAGCACATGCCGAAGCCGTCGGCGGTGGCGACGGTGAGGTTGTTGGACACGTGCCGGGGGAAGTTGTAGATGGCGGTGGTGGCCTCGGCAAAGTGCGCGGACTCGAGGACCATGCGGCGCAGCATGGAGATGGGCATGACCGGCTTTGGGTCCGCGGTGCTCGGGCAGTAGTCCTCGGTGGACATGAGGGAGTTGGCGGTGACGGCCATGCCGAGCGAGTTGATGCCAGAGCGGCCGAGCTGGCCGGCCTCGGTGACGAGGAATAGCGACGGCTTCGCCTCAGACGGGTCCGGGTGGACCTCGAGGTAGATGATGGTGTCGTGTAGCCAGAGGCGCGCGGACATGTCCCAGTTCTGGGCGTTGAGGACATCGCCGGTGGCGGTGGCCTCGGAGAAGAAGATGGCGCTGGTGCACTCGTTGGCGAGGTCGTCTCTTTCAGAGCGGGAGTAGTGGTTTCCGTTGACGCCGTCGGCACCGTTGGTGATCGAACTCTGCTCCTGGTCGTCCTCGTTGAGACGGGCAAGATCATACCGCGCGTTCAACAACACAACGTCTTCGAGGGAAACGTGGGCTCCGTCGGCGATGCCACGCATCTCCTCGAGGCCGGCGGGATAATGGGCCGCGATGTTTGGAATGTAAATCTCCTTGATGATCAGCTCCATGGTTTCCCTGCGTCCGAGGTTAGTCCGCTGCTCTCAACAAATGTGGTGAGGTTCACGGGGCCCAACCCACAGTTTGGCCAGCTTGCCGGGTGTCTTGTAGTACGCGACATTGTCACGGACCTTTTGCGCCGCTTGCTGGCCGTGTGCCAGGCCGCGCTCGTAGGGCAGTCCTCTAGCGATGACATGCTGGTAGTACGGGCTGGGAACTTGGGCGACTGTCATGTTGAAGTAGTGAATCTGCATGAGCCGAATAGGAGGTTATTCTGTAAACTCTTTGAAATCAGTACTGTATGTACGTCAAGCCAAGCCTCATTGCAGGGCGTCTGAGGCTCGGTTCAAATAGTACTGGCTCGACAGACCGTGAGCCACAGACCAAGTTTCCTTTCGGAAGCTTTGGCGACCAAGGCCGGCTTCGAAGGAACCTCGAGTCATCCGTCCCCCCACCGATGGCTGAGTGGCCGGCAGTTGCGGACGACAGCTGAGGTCGGGAACCTGGTGTCCAAGGCGTCGGGGGATCCATGCAAGTTGGTGGGATTCTGGCTGAGGCACCGGCAACAAGACCAAAAAGAGTAAGGACCATGGAAACAATCATGGACAGCTGGGGACGAGGCGTTTGTCGTCGCCAATCAAGCCCGAACGGGCAACTTTGGCGACGCCGGGATCCGCCCCCGCCAACGACCCCAGCCCGACTGCGGAGAAGACCCGGGGTAGGCCGTTGGAGATGTGCCCTCACTATGATTGTAGACTTGAAGATGTGCAAAGTATAAAGTCTGAGGGGATTGGTTGACTGTGGAGGACGTAGTTGTTCATCTCATCTCATTTTTTTTTTTTTCCTCTTGCTTCAAGACTGAAAATACTTTGAACATGACCAGCAAAGAGCACGGCCCCCAACCTGTTGAGCACAACGAAGTCGGCTTCTCCAAGGGCTTTGACTACTCGGATAAGAATCAGGATGACGCGAGCAGGTTCATCGGACAGCTCGGCGGCGTTACTGAGTATTCTGCTCAAGAGGCCAATCGTGTGCGGTGGAAGCTGGACCTCATCCTGCTGCCCATGGTATACGTCCTCCAGGCTACCCTATACAAAACCTGACTGACTGTTGTAGATGACCATCACCTATCTCCTGTCGTTCATGGACAAGGTTGCTCTCAGCCAAGCGTCCATCTTTGGTATTTTAAAGGACAACGTCAGTAACCCCTTCCCCCCCCATCCATCCTCTCCCACTCACACCGCTACCCAGCACCTCACCGGCACCGACTACAGCTGGGCCAGCGCCGTCTTCTACTTTGGTTACCTCGCCGCCCAGTACCCGTGCGCCCTTCTCATGCAGAAGCTGCCCACCGGCCGGTACTTTGGCGCCATGGTCGTCGGCTGGGGCGTCGCCACCACCGCGCAGGCGGCCACCACCTCCTTCGCCTCGCTCGCCGCCTGCCGCTTCGTCCTCGGCGCCTTCGAGACGTGCATCTCGCCCGTGCTGACCATCCTGGTCGGCCAGTACTGGACGCGCCGCGAGCACCCGCTGCGGGCGACCGCGTGGTGGGCCGGCGCGGGCATCGGCGGCTTTGTCGCGGACGGCGTGACGTACGCCGTCTCCGGAGGAGGTTTCGACGGCGGGCGCTACGCGACCTGGCAGGTGAGCTTATTCTCTTGCGAGAAAGGTGGTAGGATGCTGACGGGGTAAAAGCTCATTTTTCTCATCTTTGGTCCGATATCCATCGCCTGGGGCGTGTTTCTCTTCTTCGCGCTGCCCGCGTCTCCCATGACCGCGTGGTTCCTGACGGAGCGGGAGCGAGAAGTCGCCGTGCTTCGAGTAAGGCCTTGAACTCTCGTACTGTTGATGAACGGCTGGCTAATGGAAGTAGGTCATTGAAAACCACACGGGTATCGAGAATCGCCGGTACAAGGGCTATCAGGTCCGGGAGGCGCTGCTGGACCCCCAGGTGTGGATGCTGTGCGCCAACAGCTTCTTGCAGTGCATCCCGGGCGGCGGCCTGACAGCGGCAAGTATTTCTAGATTCGTTTGGGGGTATCGTATCTTGGCTAACTGATAGAGATAGTTTGGCAAGATTGTCATCACCGGACTCGGGTACAGCGACAGGGAGGCCGTCATAATGTCGTTCCCCTGCGACGCCGTCCAGCTTGTCTCCGTCGTCTCGGCCGGACTCATCGCGCAGGCCATTCCGAACGTGCGAATCGCGACCATGGTGTTCACAAACGTCATCGTCTTAATCGGGAGTGTCCTCGTGGAGAGTACGTCATTTTTTGGTTTGTGGTGTCAAGTTGTGAAAGAGAAGCTGACGTGGCGGTAGAACTGCCGGCGAGCCATTCCCTCGGACCAATGTTCAGTGAGTTTCTCCTCAAGACAACCTGTGCTTTTTTGGTTGTGACGAAGCTAACATTCGCCAAGTCTTGTACGTCAACACCGTGCCGTACATCATGTGCATGAGTCTCGTCGCCTCCAACATCGGCGGCTTCACCAAGAAGGCGACCGCGGCCGTGAGTTTCTCCCAAGCCCCTCAAAAGCAGATTGTCTCTCTTGCGCATCCTGACAACCAGCTCACCCCAAGGTCATGATGTTCATGTCCTACAGCGTGGGCCAGATTTCCGCGCCGCACTTCTTCCTTGCCCGCGAGAAGCCGCGGTACCCGACTGGCTTCCGCGCCTTCTACGTGTCCCTGGCGCTCATGATTGCGGTCGAGCTCCTTCTCGCGTAGGTTGGCCTTCTATCCTTAACCGGGGAAGGTTTGTCGTGAATGTAATTTTGGCTGACACGCGTTGTAGGCTGTATCTGTGGAAGGCAAACGGGAAGAAAGAAAAGGCTCAGGCGGCGGGTACTCAGCAGAACCCTGCTGCGGATGGGCTGTCGGCTGACTTTGCAGACCTCACGGATAAGGAGCATCCGGAGTTTCGCTATGTATTTTGAGGAGGGGAGGTTGCTTGGTGTGTGAGAAATAGTCCCCAGCCACAAGTTACAAACCAAACCATCGCCATCCTGTTAATCGACATTCTCAAGGCAGATAGATCGGTACCACACTGGAAACTGACGGCTCTGCCCATGTCGTTCAGCTTGCTGATTCATATACACACTTCACAAACACTGGCTGTCTCATTTTTGTATTGTTCCATATCTATCACATAGTAATGACACTGGCTGCATGCAACGTGAGGATCTCTCCACCCAGAACAAGCCACCACAGAGAAACCCGTCAGTTCCCCTTGTTTTTTGCTTCCTTCTTAAAAAAAATTAGAACCAAGGAACGAATAGCTATCGTGTCCTCTGGACGGGTAAACAGGCCCAAAATTAAAACACGCAGGTTTCCTTCTCCTTCTACCAACCCATTCCACCCCGCCCTACCTACACCGGCCCATGCATAGCTAGACAAGGTATAATTACAGGAGATCGCGGCGCACAAACTCGTCGTAGAGAGCCTTGCCGAGACCGGCGGGGGAGCGCTCGACAATGACACCAGCAGCCTCGAGGGCGGCAATCTTGGAGTCGGCACCGCCCTTGCCGCCGGAGACGATGGCACCGGCGTGACCCATGCGGCGGCCGGGAGGGGCAGAGATGCCGGCGATGAAGGAGACGACGGGCTTGCCGCCGTTGACGGTGTTGTTGGCCTGGAGGAACGCGGCGGCGTCCTCCTCAGCGGCGCCACCAATCTCGCCAATCATGATGATGCCGTCCGTGTTCTCGTCGCGGATGAATACGTCGAGACAGTCGATGAAGTTGGTGCCAGAGAAGGGGTCACCGCCGATGCCGACGACGAGGGACTGGCCAAGGCCGGCCTGGGTGGTCTGGTTGACGGCCTCGTACGTCAGCGTGCCGGAGCGCGAGACGATGCCGATGCGGCCGCGCTTGTGGATGAAACCGGGCATGATGCCGATCTTGCACTGGCCGGGAGCGATGATGCCGGGGCAGTTGGGGCCGACGAGGCGCGTCTTGCTCTGCGTCTTGAGCATGTCGGTGATGCGAACCATGTCTGTTGGAGGAGATTGCGGGTTAGTCGTCCGCGGTTGGCCTGTTTTATTTGGGAGTGGCTTACCATGCTGGGGAATGCCCTCAGTAATGCAGACGGCCAGCGGAATCTCGGCCTCGAGGGCCTCCTCGATACCGGCAGCGGCCAGAGGGGGGCTGGTGCTGGTTAGTGTTTGGTCTTCAGTTGCATCACGAAGGAGGATGCGTTGCCGCTTACGGGACGAAGAGGGCGGTGGCAGTGGCGCCGGTTTGCTTGACACCCTCGGAGACGTTCTTGAAGACGGGGAGATCGAGATGAGTCTGGCCGGCCTTCTTGGGGTTGGTACCACCGACGACCTTGGTGCCTGCGGTTTCGGGTTAGCATGTCGATTGCCTCGGATTGACGTGTCTTCCAAGCGTCGCGGTGATTGCGGTCGTGTCTTCGTACCGTATTCGATGGCCTGCTGGGCGTGGAAGCTATAGAGAAGGTAAAGTCAGCGTCGAGGTTCCGAAGGACCCGTGGGAGCGCGCGTCTGCACAACGGGCAGCCAGTCGCGCGGATTGCAATTGGATCGATGTGACGTACGTTCCCTGCTTGCCGGTGAAGCCCTGGAAGAGGACCTTGGTCTCGCTGTTGATGCGCAGGTTCTCGACAGTCTTGGAGTAGGGGGAGGACGAGGAGCTGTAAGAGCGGCTCGAGACCTGGCGGAGGGCCGAGCGAGCGGCGGATCTGGGAATGGCCTGCATTGCGAATGGGTGTGGGAGGGAGAGATATGGGAAGAGACGGAGGAGAAGAAGAGGAAAAGGGAAAAGAAGGCGGATGTGCACCGAGAAGATGTGTATGTGGTATGTGTAGTCGTGGAACAGGTAAAAGGGAGCTTTTTCGGTGGAGGCTTTTTTTGGGGAGGGAAGCTATCTGGTTGGCTGGATTGGGGCCGTGCCTGCGCGCCTGTGCAGTCAGTGAGTGTTCTGGTGCAGGAACTGGGACAGTGGATGTCTGGTCTGGCTGGGGCGCTGGCTGGATGGCGCTGGGATGGGGTTGTGAGCGTTATTAACTAGCCGTATCGCTATTTCTTAGGACTAATTTATTAGGGAGCTTGCAGCGAGTCGTGATCGGGTTCTACCGGCTGCAGACTGGGTGCAACGGGTGCAGATTGGTGCAAAGTGCCTGCAGCGGCGAATCATTTTTCCCGGTCATTTTCGTGCGTGGGCCATTTGCGGCGCTGTATTTGCTGCTCCAGCGCCGCAAGTGCCCTGCCCACAGTGCCCAGGCTGCCACAGTTCCAGCCACTGACCCATGTTTCAGAGGGGCCTCCAAGCCCCAACACCCAACCCACCGAGCCTCATCCGCCTCCTCCCGGTCGGTGGATTCTGAAGCAATTACAAACGACAAACGCCAGTATCAGTATCGTGATCAATGGACGTCATGAACTTTTCGTTGCAGAATTGTCTTCAGCGAGGGCTCCGTCGAAATAACCGACTTCTTCTATCTAGTCATACACCAGCATATATCGACGCTGGCTCAGGGCTCTTCATCAGTGCCTCAACCTCTCAGGATGGGAAGTCGCAAACATCACCCAGTGGCTTGGCATCCTTCTTCTCAACCTACATACCAGGTAACTTTACATAATGTACACAGAAGCCCTGCATCGAGAGACTCTTCTGCCCCCAGCTATCTACTCTCCGACCCCTTCATCGGCACATCCTCGACCTCATCACCATCCACGTTCAAGTGAGCATAGCACTCGAACAGATTCCCCAGCGTCTTGGAATCGAGATCCTCCTTCTTGACCACGCTCACCGGCCAGTGGCTGCGCACCACCTGCGCCGGCTCCTGCTGCTCCTCCTCGCCCTGCTCGCCGTCCACGCCCAGCGCCCGTCGCAGAAGCGCCAGCTCCTCGCGCCGCATCTTGCCGCGCAGTACCCGCCACAGCGCCTCGCCCAGGTAGTGGTTTCGCCGCTGGTCGTGCAGGCCCCTGGCCACGAGCATCAGCGTCGCCCGCGGCTCATCCAGCGCCGCGTCGTCGTCGTCGTCGCCTCCCGGGCCGCCGCCGGCGGCCATCCGCTCCAGGCACTCGTCCACCAGAATCATCAGCGGGACCACGATGAACAGGTCCATCGCCTCGTACCCGTGTCGCAGAAAGTAGATCCGCACTAGCGTGTGCATGAACCGCCGCGACGACGCCACAATCTCCGTCGGCGTGTGCTGGTACGGTGCGGAGCCCGCCTCGAGCAGCGGCTCGTAGATGCTGAGCAGGATGTGGTGGTAGTACATGCTGCGGCCGGATTAGTATTGCATCTCGTGATCCGCTGCTGTCTACTCACTGTATCTGTAGTTGCGAAGGCAGCACAATGTTCCTCGGGTCCAGCGACTCCGGCAGGTCCTCGAACCAGCGCTGCAGCTTGCGCCGTAGACCCTCCGCCTTGAAGCTGTTGACGCCGAGCGACGTGCCGTACGCCTCCTCGCAAAACTCGTGCATGATGATGCGGAACCGCGTCTTCCTCTCGAAGACCTGCTCAAAGCACAGCGAGACCCGCGTCGCGCTCGCCGGATACTGCACCCACAGCTGGCCGTACCAGTCGGGATCCTCCTCCGGATCAGGGAGCGGCCACTTGGGCACGTCCTTGACGAGCGGCACATGCATAAACGAAAACGCGACCAACCTTTGAGCCTATAGTTAGCGTCTCGCAGAACCTGCGTGTAAAAAAAAAACGAACGTACGTCTCCCAGTTGTACATGGTCCAGGCGGTGAAGGCCGTGCCGCGCTGCGTCCGCGCCGAGTCTCCCGGCCTGGGGCCGTCCATGATGCCAAGCTCCCGTGCGAGCGCCACCGCGTGGATGCGGTAGGCCTGGCCGACCGCGTCAAGGCCCGAGAGGTTGTAGAAGACGCTGAAGAGGATGCCAGCCTGCACCGTCGTCAGGCAAGGCTCGCGCGCCACCAGCTCCCACAGGCGACGGGCCTCGGCGAGGAAGCGGTACGCGAGCGTGTCTGGGTTCCAATACTCGGAGCGGTTCGGTAGGTTAGGGTTGCAAACCTGCAATTCCCAGAAATCAGCAGCTTTTCTGAGAGACCTCAGATACTGTCTCTACTCTTCACCGCTACTTACCGAGGCATAGGCTAGTACGAGATTCACCAGCAGGGACGAGCAGAACTCGGCCCGACCCGCGGCTAGGTCCTCGAGGAAGTAGTCCTTATGGAACGCCGACGTGAACTGGTACTCACAGCGGAGGAATATGCCGAGCAGCTCGCGCATCAGCGGCTCGTCGTCGCACGTGTGCGTCCACGGCCCGATCTTGACGTCTGTGAGGCGCGGCTCGACCAGGCGCGCGGCGTGGAACGGAGTGAAGTACGCGACCTCGTTTTCGCGCACCGCCGGCGAGCCCGTCTCTCCTTGTCGACGCGGAGACTTGTCAAGCGGGAGCGGTCGTCGCTGTTCCCCCTTGGTGCCGTCGTCGTCCGCGGTTACCGGCATCACCGACGCCGCCTCGTACAGCCGCAGCGCGTCGAGATACACGTTACTCCCGCCGCCGAGGCACGCCGCGGGCATCTCCGCGCGGTACGGGAGCACGTATCTAAAGCGCGTTTCCGGCTTGACGGCCATCTGCAGGAGGGCGTCACCCGCCCTGACCTGGTTGAGGACGGCCGCGAGTGGCGCGCCCGCCCGCAGCCGCCGCAGCAAATTTCCCGCATCCGCCTCGGGCAGTCGCCGCAGCAGCGCGACCACCTCCTCGTGCTCGGTGGCGCGCGCCCGCAGCGCGCGGTACCCGCGGCGCACGGCCTGGGCCTCCGTCTCGCCGGGGCGCGCGGCGTAGATGCACGGTAGCCGGCGCTGGGCGCAGCGCCGACACGCGGGGCGGTCTCCGGAGCACTAGGTCGTCAGTGAGTAACATGGTCACGTTGCAAAGGTTGCCCTTTAATTCTTAGGAGTTGCAAGTGTACAGCACGAGACTGGTGACGGCCGGGTGGGCGGGGTGTATGGACTTGGGTTAGGTGTGTTGCGTAGCTGGCGTACCTTGGTCTTGTGCTTGCGGCAGTTATCGCAGGCCGCGGCCGTGTTCGGCGTCTTCGTCAGGCGACTCGTCACCGTCCTCGTCGTCCTGGCCGGCGATCCCGGCGTCGTCGCGTCGCGCTTCCTGGCCGCCGCCGGGAGCAGCGGCCGCAGCGCCGGCCGTCCCTGCTGGGATAGTGGTGGTGATGACTGCTGCTGTGTCGGCGGTGGTGGCTCTGACATGGCGGCGCAAGAACGAAATCGCAGTGGGTGTTATCGGGCAATGTTCATGATTTTGGTGCGTGATTATGGGATTTATGAAAAGAAGAGAAGGAAAACCGAATTCAAGCTTTCCCCATGTCCGGTCAAGTGGTTTTTAACTCTCTGATAGTGCCAAGTTAGCGGCGCAGTCAGATCTCATAGGCTGGTCTGCCGGAGCCGGCTCCGCGGAGGGCGGGGCGGGGGAGAGGGGCTTCTAGGAAGGTTCTTCTCCCTTGCCACGCGGGAAAAGACAAAGAAGGAAAGGCTTCCGCAAGGCAGACAGGAAAGATCCTTTTCAGCCGCCTTGGAATCGTCCAATCAAGTGCGCGATTTGTCACAAAATCCAGATGAGGCGTTCGGCAGCAAAAGATCCCGGCCACCTTGGCTGTTGGCCAGCGATAGTTGCGACTGCTGGAGTGACCTAATAAGTTGTTGACTCGGGTGTGATGAGCTACCTCTATTTTGCGGTGTCAACGGCGTACCGGCGTGGCTAACATGTTACGAGTGCTAGCCAGTCTCGACGGAGGAGACCTCCGGGGTTGTCAAGCCACGAGGTAAAAGTACCATGACAAAAGAATAGACTTGTGATGAAACGGCTGGATCTATGGATGGGTGCCGGGAGTTTGCTGTATTTATGCAAGAAGCCAGTTACAGCGTCCGTAGGTAGCTTTCTGTATTGACAGTAGATTACTGGCTAATAGAGTATCTCGTCCCGGGCCTGTTCCGATTCGCCCTGAACCTTGTCATGTTCTTCTCATGAACCTCCGTCATGAGGGGCGTGCAAGCATCCTGTGGTAAATTCAAGCTATTCCATTTTCGCCCGTCGTTTGTCGATTGCTGTTCTATCCCAATCACCAAATAATACCCTGTCATGTAGACGTATGCCGCATTTCATGTACAAAGAAAGAATAAGAAAGTGGACAGAAGAGGAGAAGTAGGAAAAAGAAACAAGAAAACAGAACAGAAGAAAAGGTCAAAAATGGAAGAAAAGTGTAACTCGAATGAGAATGACGCAGGCCGTACAATAGAGAAAAGGAATTGACGTAGCAACATGTTGGACCCTGTGTGTGCATATGAAAACGCCGCTCGCCTGGCAACACCCTGACCATGCAATCAAAACCACCCCAGGCCGTGGCTAACCCGAGGGCCGCTCAGGTTCGCCACCAGCGGCGGCAGATGACCGCCGAGGACGCGCCGCAGCAGCTGCCCGACCGGGATGCCCAGGATCGGGACGGCGTACAGGCTCTGCAGGATCTCGACCTCGTTGCCCAGGATGCAGAACGCGGCCGGGTGCAGATAGTACCGCAGGATGACGGCCAGCGACATGAGGCCCGCCGCTGAGTGGGCGACGCCGGCGTCCGGCGTGAGGAAGAACCCCATAGCGTAGACCTCGCGCGTCGCGTACACGGCCGACTCCCATAGGTAGTGTTCCGAGGCTGACACGCCGGTCGTCGAGCTCGTCGACGAGGGTGACTGGGCGTCGTTGTCGTCATGGGTGGTGGTGTTGGTGGCCGTTGTTGAGCCCGGCGTGCCAGGGCCGGTGCCCCCGTAGTTTGCGTACCATCCTGGCGGCCGTTCCGGTATTCGCTCCTCGCCCTGCCGCGAGCTGAAGAAGCTCTTGATGCACGAGACCATGCCGGCCGTGAACCAGTAAATCGTCGTCATGTGGTGGAACGCGTACTCGGCGTCGTTCCTCGGCGGCTCCAGCGGCCCAATGTGGGCAAAGCAGTCGAAGCGCTGCAGGGAATCGCCGCGGTCGGCGGCCCACGAGTCGAGGTCGGCCTGTACCTCGCTGCTACGGCTCATGATGAGCATTTCTAGATCTCGTCGTCGGCCTGCATCTTTCGAGACTTTGAATTCCTCAATGTACTCGAGGATCTCGGGGATGTCTTGCATCACGTCGATCAGTTCGTCCTTGACCGCTTTCGGGTGCTTTAACCACGGGATCTTATCCCATGCAGGGGTAGCAAAAGGAGAGCGTTTTCGTTGACCCATGGAGAGCATGACCTGGAAATGATTAGCTAGAAAATGGCGCTAGGGAGAGCTGTGGATGTACCATATTGATACGGGCATCCGCATACAATTGATGCGCTGGCCCTGAAGAAAATGCCGAGGGGCCGCGGGCCAGGAAGATGGCTTGCTGACCTTGGTTGTGACCTCGCCAAGCCAAAGGCTCGGGGGTATCTTTGTCTTTGGAAATAAATAATAACTAAAATACGTTGTCAGAAAGTGCATTGTCGAGGGCCAGCAGTGGTAGAAACTCACCTCAAAGGTCGCCATGATGCGAGCCGCCGTCAGCAAACCATCGCGTTTATACCAATCGGTCCTCTGCAGACCCTTGACCATTTCCATGACAGAACCGTTGTAGGCCTGGATACCTTTGACCTGCAGCTGCTTGTCGTTGTGCAGCGTGGCGACGATGGCGCTCGACGTGGCCATAGCAGCGCATCTTACAGCCGGGTCCGTGTCGTAGAGGGGTCCAATGTGCTTGGTCCAGCCCATCGATGCAAAGCTCATGGCTGCATCCGAGGGCGTGGTCGTCCCCGCGGCGAGTAGTGTCGAGCCAAAGTAGCCCATGTAGAGCTGCTCCCGGGCGGAGCGAGCCAGATGCACCGGCAGCAAGATGTCGGGCGAGCGGACCACGTCATCGCTCCGATCGGTCGTCCACGCCGACCCGGGGCTACTACCCCCGGAGGCGGAGGAGTCATCTCGGACAATTAATTGCTGATCCTGCACCGAGGATGAAGCATGGTGATGATGCTGTTGTGGCTGTTGCTGCTGCCTCAGTCGGATTTGCAGCTTGGGGCGATTGTCCACGGTGCGGTTGACCCAGACTAGGCCGTCGGTATACCCCTCACATTCTATGCCAGCCTTTTCGCACTTTAAGCACGTCGGCGCTGTCTTGTCACACTGATGGCGGCCAAGATTAGCAATTCATTTAATCGAGCGATACAATTCCAGTTGAGCCGACTGCTCTGGAGATGCCGTACCTTTTTCTTTCGGCGGCGGCAGGTGAGGCACGAAAGTGATCTGGTGGGGATGCCGACCATGTTTAGGAGGTCTCACTCGCGCCCGCCTATGCATCAAGGATGGCTGAGAGGCATGCGGATGATGAAGAGATGCGGAAAGATGAACAGTGAGATGCGCAAGGATGGAATGAAGGGCGGCCGACGAACTGCTGCTGGGTGTCGACGTCAACAGCGTTGCGGAATCATGTACCATGCATGACCTTGGAAAGGTGAGATCCGACATTTCCGCTGGTAGCACGGTAAGGCGTCCCAATGGCGCCTATTGTTTTTTGCTTGCCAAGGTTGAGCTCTAAAATCGCCTAACGGGGTACGGTTTGCTAGACCCCCAAAGTCGCCTCGTTCACAACTGCCGTGGCTTTTTTTCCGCCCTGCTGACCACCTACCTATTTCGAGCAGCGAGCGGGAGCGGGCATTGCGGAGGGTGGAGGAGCAGGGTTATGTTATGCAGCAACAAAAGCCGCACGTCTGTCGATACGAGGGATATTCAACCCCTCATCATCTGCTGCTGTTGGCATAGACGGGCGAGCAATTCCAGTACAAGGGGAACAGCAGTCTCGACAAGCATTTTGGAACTTTGCATGTGGCTTGTGGAGCGCCCAGCTTCTGCAGACGCTGTAGACGACGCAAACACACTCGAGCCCCAGCAAAATAGGCAAGGTGCCTGGGGCCAGCTGTTCAGCTGCTGCGAGCCGGGCCACTGAGGCGTGTCGTATCTGGGCCCTGACTTATACGACGGGCTTAGCAGAGTTGCTCCCGCGAGTCGCTTCGGCTGCGCCATCTTCTTTATTGGCGGGCGGCTGGCCGCGCTTCCAGGACGATATCATCCCCTCAGCATCCGACCCCAGTTGCCCTTTCCCTTTCACTCTGTTTAATTCGGCCCATATAAGTGGTGTCTGCTGATGTCGCTGTTGCAGGGCTTGCATACGAGAATTGCCACATTAGATTGTTGCATGCGGTATTAGGCAGCCCGACGCGCTTGCTCGCTCAGCGGCCGACTTTCTTTTTTATGTCTCGTCTCGGTTGATGCAAACGTATCGAAAGCCTTCTAGGCCGGGTAGTCGTTGCACGAAATTGCGGGCGCTCTCGATTACGTCGTTTCAAGGGACTTGGCTCGCATCTTGCCAGCTACTTGGCCCCGGTTGAAATCATGCTCAGTCTCAAAGTCAATCTGACTGGTCGGTCTCTGGTGGCTTGTATATCTCAAAGCATTTTGGCATGTCGTAGTTGGTCCCCAGGAATGCGAGTTGAACACGCCGGCAAGTGCTTCAACTCTACCCGTGAGATTGCAGCGCCACAGTGACTAAGAAAACCGTTGCATCTAGGGAACGTTAGCTACATTATTAATGCGGAGCGAGAAAAGGTGAAATGCCGCGACAGGGCATAATTCCGTGATGAAACAGGACCGTGCTCCGATAAAGTGTTGCAGGTCCGGGAGGGCAGCTTTTTGGGACATTGTTCGTGTTCCTGATCATCTCGCCCGGCTTGAATGGCTTTCCGAGCCAATGTTCATAATTTTGTTTGTGCAAATGGTCCCAGAGCTTCAGCACGCTTGAAATTGATTTGAGGAAAGGCGGGACCAGGCCTTCCAAGAAGGACAGAGCTGTAGGAGCACCGCAATTGCGTGTCAGGAACTTTCGAGTCTCCTCTTTAAAAAAGAAAAAGACAGATATGCATAGGCTTGGCGAATGGCAGAATTGAAGACGCTCAGCCAAGCTCTAGCGGCTTGAAAATTGGTCAGATAATTGACGAGACCATGTTTTCAGGAAAGGCATGCAGAAGCTTGGCGAATGGCAGAATTGAGGAGAGTTCAGCCAAGCTTGAGCGGCTTAAAAACAGGTCAATGATTGACGAGACCATGCTTTCAAGCAAGATACAAATGCAAAAGTTTGGCAATTGGCGAAATTCGAAGAGACTTGAGCCGAAACTTAAGTGCAACAGAAGAATGGCGGAGATATGACCAGGCCATGTTCCCTAGGACACGTGAATGTCAGGTGGGTGTGCGTATTGAGCGATGGATCCCCACTGACGATGATTGGAAGAGCTGCAATGGCGGGAGATTTAATGCTTTTGGCATGCAGGATCTTTCGTATTGATTCGTTAATTAGCTTCCTGTCTGTAGGAATGAAGTGGACTCAGTAGATGTTTTGAGATGGAGGCAAGCCGATGATGTGGCTGGATATGTTTTGGGCGATTGGCGTTTGTTGAGTAATATCCATTGAGTTGATAGTTGAGGCTGAGTCGATGTTTGCAATCGGCGAGAGCTTGTTTGATGATGTTTTGTTTGGGCAATCGCTGTGATTGCCGTCGATGGATCCCCTCGGGAGAAGAGTCGAGGCGACGCTGACAGACAGTACTAGTCACCTAACGCGGTTGCTCAGTCCACATGAGCACAGACGCGCGAATCGACATAGGTGTCCCTCTCGCGAGGGGAGCAAGCCGTCATCGAGGCGCTTCATGAGGGGGCCGCCCAAAAGTCGACCCAAGACCTCGATCCGGCCTCTCAGGCGAGCTACTTTTCGCTAGAAGCATCCATCAGGTAGACAGCATCCCGAGGGAGCCCTGCTAAACAGGGCTCAAGACCTCGGGAGTGTCACCATCCGGATAGCTTCTAGGGTGCCTGGCCGAGAACCCAGCTGTGTTCGTAGACGTATGCAGGACTGCCATGTCGTCTGCGTATCCACGAATGAACAGTGGCCTGAAGTCATCTTCTCAGTCCCCTATGCCCAAGACATGGCCAAGGACAGCTTCCAAGAGTGACAACAGTTAGGATGGCTTGCCGCTAAAAGGGCGGGATAGGTTTCCCGGTGTGTCAGGCCGAAGGATAGGTTATTACACGGCTGTAATATACCTCCTATCATATAAAGAGAACAGCTTGTGTCAGGGCTGCCAGCTGCATTTACCGGCTGCCTAAGTCTAAAATAACAGTGACGACGCTCTACAGTGTACATTGTTAATAAGTACTAATAATGAAACAAACCTTTTGTAGACAATGAGAAGCCAGAGAATGTAGGCTTGAAAGCACATGACAAAAAGAGACGGGGATGTTAAAAACAAGGCAGATGAAAACGATGAAAAAAAGACCAAGCAGATAAAGGAGATATGGAGATACGGAGAATAGGAAAAACAAGGAAGACAACAAAGATTATAAAAATCGTGTAGATAAAAAGGATGCGGAGAATAGAAGAGACAAGGAAGACAAGAGAGATAATAAAAACAGAACACTTACACAAACGACGACGAACACTGGATACAGGTATTGCGTGGGTGTTCTGTAGTCGGGACCCTTCGTGCAATAGTTAAAACGGCAGATAATAACCCGGCCGCTCGGGTGTACTTGGTTCTCGAATGTCGGCTCATCTACCGACTCGTCACACGAGTACACGTCGATCCCTTTGTACCCTTGCTTCTCGCCCAGATCGAGATCTTCTGGTAGAGTAAACTCACCGAAGCCCTATCTGAACTTCGCCGGCGGCTCTCTCACAGCAGCGGGCTGGCTCTGGGCTCGGGCGGCGGCGACCATTCGCGCGAAGTTTGTCTCGTTTGGCGGCGTCCATCGTGTCTCGTCTGAATATGGATACAATAAAGGAAGAAGAAAAGAAGCAACTGTTTAAAAAATGAAGCAAACGCCAGTCTAGCAACAGTCGAGGGGGCTGGCAGCTGGCAGCCGGCAGCCGGCACCTACTTCCTCTTCATAGCAAACGGCGGCAGCTCACCTTCTTCCCCTTCATCTCTCACTAACATCTAGACCGTTTCCACTTCTTCAGGCATCCTTTTCGGATATCCCTAACCTTCTATATCTTCTATATCTACTATCCTCCTAATCTTTCTTATCCTCCTAATCATTCTTATCCTCCTAATCTTTCTTATCCTCCTAATCTTTCTTATCCTCCTAATCTTTCTTATCCCCCTAATCTTTCTTATCCTCCTAATCTTTATTATCCTTTAAATCTCCTTTATCTTCTCTATCTTCATTAGTTGTTCTCTACACCCTTATTTACCTTTCGTCAGTATAGGTTTAGGCTAGTCAAGATGTTGTGCAAATTCGATGTACTACAGCTTTTATCATTTTGTCTCTCCCATACTGATGGACTTGGCACTCGTTCTCTTCCCTTAGACAGCTTGACATTCATTGGGTAGTAAGTCGCTGCACATTCTCTGTTAACAGATCCTGGCCCGTGAACATCACCACACTAACTCCTCTGCTATGCGTAAACCATATACCTACATCTATAATATCCCAGCCTCTCCTGCAGTCCTCTTCCAAGTCCTTCTATCTCTCCATCGCCCTTTGCAGTCTCACGTCTTCAGGCAACCCCTTCCAGCGACTCATGTACACCCGTCCATTCTTAACCACCGCCAGCACACTCTTCTCTGGCTCATCCAGCACGCTGATGTCCTCGAGTGGGTTTGCTGCGAGCACCAGGACATCTGCCGCGAAGCCCGCACGAACTTCTCCCAGCGTATTCTCTTGGCGGAGCATGCGCGCTGCGTACACCGTGGCGCCGCGCAGCACCTCGGCGCTTGACAGAACCTGCGCACGGAGGCCAAACTCGCGCGGCTGCTCAGCCTGCAGGGGCCCGAGCAGGTCGGAGCCGTGACATACCGTAACTCCCGCGTCGCGCGCGATGCGAAGGCTCGCTACGCCCTGCGCCAGCACCTGCTGGTTCTTGGCCTGGTTCTCTGGCGGCAGGAAACCGCCGTATTTCGGTTCGCCCATGGCCTGGTACGTGATGAGCGTCGGCGTCAGCCACACGTCGTGGGCTGCCATGTACCGCGCTGTTTCCGCATCCAGCAGGTTGCCGTGCTCGATGCCGCGGACGCCATTCTCCACGGCGTGGCGGATCGCCTTGGGCGTGTAGGCATGCGCCGTCACGTAGGTGCCGTAGCTGTCCGCCACGTCCGCGATGGCCCGGATCTCAGCTGCCGTGAACTGCGTGTTCTCGATGCGATCTGTCGGGCTGGCCACACCCCCGCCCACCATGATCTTGATGAAGTCGGCACCCTGGCGCAGCTGCTCCCGCGTGGCGGTGAGACAAGCTGGCACGCCATCCGCCACGACGGAAATGGAAGACTGTGTACCGCACTGGCAGCAGTCACCACCCGCCTTATCGTGCGCTTTACGGACGTCGCCGTGGCCACCCGTCTGCGATATGGCCTTGTTGGCGATGAAGATGCGCGGGCCGGGAAACACATCGTCGGCGATGGCCTCCTTGAGCGCGAGCGTCGCGCCGCCCGTGTCGCGCACTGAGGTGAAGCCACGGCTCAGCATCTGACCGCACAGAAAGGGCTGCCGGAAGTACGACACGGCCATGTCGGCATCGTCAAAGCCCAGTGAGGTGGAGCCCGCCACGGCTGTAAGGTGCACATGGCAGTCGATCAGGCCCGGGCAGATGTATAACCCCTCAAGATTGACCTCAACGATTTCAGCTGAAGCGGAGAGATCGGAGCGGGAGTAACAGGACGTGTGCTGTACAGACTCGATGAGCCCGTCGCGCAGGGTTACGGTCTGGCCCCGGATGATGGTGCCTCTGGCCGCATCTACAACGTTGGCGTTATGTAGGATGTACACCTTTTGCGGAGGTAGTTTCCACGGCTTGACAAGATTCTCGGGAATGCCACGTTGGAATGGGGGTGTGGCGGCGGGCGGCGCAGGCCGTGGCCGGATCTCGGCAGCCGGCGCTGCACGGTTAGGAAGATGTCGAGTCATGGCGGTTCCAGCAAATTGAAAAATTTCAATGCAAGGGATCGACGATAAATGAATAAAGTAGTTGAGATCGATGAGGTGAGGCGAAGAGTGAAAGGCGGAAGACGCACGGCTGAAGGTTAATAAGTATAAGGTACATAAGTTTGAGGTGGACCTCCGCACCGGCGCCGGTACCCGGCCGCGGGGTAGCAAAGCCGCAGATCGGACTAGGATATTCTTGGCAGGACCAAGACACGCATACAGTGAAAAGAACATTGTGCGTAGCATGTACAAGGTGAGACCCTGCGTGCTTTCATTGGTATACGTCATGATGCAATTGCGTGCATCGCCGTCATGCTCCTCGTAGCCAAAATCTTACACGCCGAACCGAAGTCTATGTTTTTGAGAGAAGCGCAAATTCGTCTATTCTTCCGCTGGCCCTGGACGCCCATCGAGCCACTTACTCATGTACGGGCCGTCGAGCCAGTAGCCCAACTTCCTATAGTAATTACGCACGCCGACACCGGAGATGACGCTGATCTTGTCGCTGCCGTGCTCGTCGCGGGCGATGCGCTCAGCCTCCTCCATGAGCAGCGTGCCGAAGCCCTGGTGCTGGAACTTGCGGGGGTCGCGAGCATGTACGGGGACAGCCGTACCGTAGACATGCAACTCGCGGATCATACTTGTCGGTTGCGCCGTGAGCTCGGGTCGGAACGTGTACTTTTCAGTGCACTTGCGCAGCCGAAGCAGGCCGACAAGGATGTCTTGCTTGGGGTCCTCGTATGCCAGGAATGTCTCCCAGCCACCATTGGCCGTGTAGTCGCGGCGCACAAGTTCAATCTGATTTGGTCGGATCTTGTTCTTGACCTCGTTGACGCCAACCTCGCGAGTGCGGACGTCGCGACATGTGGTGCCAAAGTCCTTCATCCGCGCGAGAGCTAGTTCGCGTAGGTTGCCATTCTCAACGCCAGATGTGACGAGAGGCATAGGGATATCACGCTGAACACGGTAGATTCGCGTCCAGGGAGGGATCAGGGCAAGAATGCGGGCGACCAGATCGATGAGCCCGTTTGGCGTGTAGTTTTGGTAGCGGCCTGTTCGCCACAGCTCGTAGAGACCAGTGCCACGGATGACAAGCGTAGGGTAAATTTTGAGACCGTCTGTTCGGAACGCGGGGCTTTCGAAATACTCCCTGAACTGGTCGAGATCGCGCTCCATGCCAACGTTGGGCAGATCCGGCATCATATGGCTGACAACCTTGAAACCCGCGTCCTTGGACAGACAAAATGTCTCAGCGACGGCAGCAACAGTATGACCTCGATTCGTGTCGCGAGCGACATCTTCGTAGAGCGACTGCACGCCAACCTCTAGACGCGTACAGCCGTAGCGCAGCATGTCAGATAGATGAGGTTGGAGGCAGTAATCTGGCCGCGTCTCGATGGTGATGCCGACGCATTTGACATTGCTCATCTCAGCGGCCTCGACGGCCTCATCGACGTTGGATGTTTGGTAGCCGCTGAGGGCGTTGTGGAGCTGAGAGATGAAGTCCTCGCGGTATGACTCGGGCAGCGACATGAAAGTGCCGCCCATGATGATGTATTCGACCTTGTCGACCGAGTGGCCGAGTGACTTGAGTTGGTCGACGCGGCCGCGGGCCTGCTCGAAAGGGTCGTATCGTGCGCGGATGGCCCGCATTGAGGTGGGCTCGTAGCCGGTGTATGATTGCGTGCTGTATTCGAAGTCGGAGTCTGGACCACCAGGGCAGTAAACACAGATGTTACCGGTATAGGCAATGTGAGGGCAGCGATGGGGTTTGCACATGACGGCGACGACGGCAATGCCAGAGGAGGTGCCTGCCACGGATTAGTTAAACATCATCAAAAAAAAGGAAGGATCTATCGGACTGCAGCATACGGATGGGCTTGGCGATGAGCTTGTGGAGGATGTATTTCTTGTAGTGTTCGGGGATGGCAGCGATAATGGCAGTGAGAGGTGGGATGTTGGTCAGCTTGTGCTTCTTAGCCAGCTTATTACGCAGGGCGTTGAGGTTGATGTCGCGGCTGGGACGGCCATTCTTGGTGGCCTCGTGGTCTTCGATCAGAACATTGGCGACGTCGGCGCAGCAGCGCAGGTATCGCTCACTCTCGGGCGCGAGGTCGGTGGCCTTTGTCTTGGCCGTGGCGGCGGGCGTTACAGTGACTGTGGCGGTCGCCATGATTAAAGGTCGTGGTCACTGTTGGCTAGATTATTCTCGGTCTGAATTCTTTTTTTTTGTCGCGACGAGCTCTGGAGAGAGGTGGGTGCTCTCAAAGTGGGGCAGACTGAACCAGTAACCAGGATCGCCTTGTCAGCACAGCACAACGGGGATTTGTTGGCAATATACATGTGAGAGAGCACACCTCTTACTTCCTACTCCGTTTTTGTATTCAGAAGTGTACAATAAGGCAGTCATAGGAACAACTGTTCTTGGAGACTGCTTTCTCAGTAATTGTGTTTTTTCTAATCCTATCAAAAACACTTTTGAATCATCGGCGCCCCTGGTAGAACTTCTAGTCCAGCACCGGATATGGCGTCCCAGGATCAATTTCTTTCTTCGTGTCCACCGCATCCCGGCCAAATAATCTTTCCCACTGTGCGTCAACCCGAATTTGTTCTTTCTTTGACGATTTCCACGCAGTCTCCGCCACGCGACAAAGCCACCCGTCAAAGTCACGTCCCGCGCCTTGTCAAGTAGTGTGCTTTTTGCAGTCCACCCAAGTAGAGGAGGGGCCATTGAGAGGGCCCATCTTAGATTTATTCCAACCGATGCCGAGAGATAGCTGAACTGTATCCAGCCGGTCCAGGCGTCATATTTCCATACTCGCTTTCGATGTTGAGCTTCTTTCCAGCAACGAAGATCAAAAGCATTTCTCGACGGTTCATGGGGATCCCGTCGTTAGTTATGCCGTGCCAGTATTCAGGTACCCCGCGAACGGACATGATTGAAGTGGATGATAAAGTGATGGTAAAAAGAGAGATGGCGTGGGAAAATCGGTTTCCTGAGAGAAACCTATGGAAGAGAATATTAGCAGCTTGTCAGACATGAAAGTAAAGAACATACCTAACGCTTAGCGACTGTTTGATTATAATTCGTAGTGCGAGTAGACAGCGCACAGATGTGAGCAGGATAGCCGCGAGCGTGACGAGTGAGGAGCAATGCGGATGTGGCAGATGCTTCGGTTCGGGGGACGGCAGCGTTTTATATAACTAGGCGGAATTGATTTGGGCCCGTGTGTCCCCAAGCAGAGTTTGGCAAAGAAACGCCCGCGAGTCAAGGGCCGCGCGGAACCAGGTAGTGCAGCGTTTGGCGTCGTCAAAAGCGACGGGCGAGTTTCGATGGAGAGGCTAGAATATTCCGTGTCTGCCTAGACTTTCCTTGCCGGTGATAAAGACAAAGTTTAACAAGGATTCGCGGCATCACAGGCAACTGAAGAGGCGAGAATGGGCGAGAATGGGAAGGAGAAAGAGGGGGGATGTTGGTATTAGGATGAAGTCCAAACGTGATGTGGTTGGAGGTTCGTTTTGCCACCCTCGCCCTGCGATTGAGTATGCGTATGTTGACGCCGTTTGCGCCTGTGATCGCAGTACAGAGTAGCGGGAAGCTACGCATGTAGATGGGGAAGAAGAAACGCAGGTGATATTTAGTGCGCTGCTAAATGGGGGAGAGAAAGAAGACTTTCAGTTTTACTATTCAGACGTTTTGGTTTTAATTTTGCCGTTGAAAAACATCAGCTTGGATTATTCGTAAATCATAAACATGCATTATTTCACAACCCCTAATAATGCGGAGACATAGGTAGTGCGGAACTCACTTTACCATCACCTGTCGCTCCGCCGTATGATTCATCCTTCTCCCCGCCACCACCCACCCCCCGCCACCTCCCTCGCCATGCCGCCGTCTCTCCGCCATCAAGTCATAGCCATATACAAAGGTACATCCCATACCTTATCCTCCCTGTCTACCTCTTCTTCTCCGCTGAACACTTGTAGAACTTCTCTATCTCGGGCGCGAGTATCCCCTCGGATACGGCTACTTTCGGCCGCGCCTGCACAGGGCCTTCATGGCGCGCGCGACCGAGCGCGACGAAGACAAGATCCGGCAGGGCATCCGAAAGGCCGAATACGTGAAGAAGGGTACGTGCAGCGCTGACCACAGTGGAAGAGCAGGGGGAGGGGAGAAATGCTGACGACGAGTAGAAATCGAAGCGCTGTATGATGACTGCGACACGCACGTCGGACCAAACTCCCAATGCTAACTCACCATCTAGGTATTATTTGAAACGATATCGCACATTAAGGAAACGCTACGTGCCGGGCGCGTAGTCAAGTTCACGAGGCGGCAATGTACTATCATGCATCATAACGTATATGCAAGAAATTTACTTTTTATCCAATTGAAAATACACAGCTAAAAATGAAAGAAGCAAAATTCACATGGCTCATGGCTGAGATGCTTATCCGTATCAAAATCCTAACATCCCCAGACCTGTCGTAATCCGTCATGCTCCTCGCCAATCCGACGGCGGGCTTCATCGCTTTCGTTTCGTAGCGGACCACGCGCCCACCTCTAGACACTCGCCCCAGCTCGTGCCGCTGTCGCTCATCAGGTCGCCCATCATCTTGCCCATCCACACATCCCATTCATCCTGGCTCTTACCCGAGACTTCCCGCAGGATCGGCTCGAGCGCCTGGATCTGCTGTACGACCGTCAGGAGCGCCGTCTGGCGAAGTGCCTCCTGCCCGGGCGACAGCACGCGGCTCTCCACCTTGGGCGGTGGTGGCGACGCCGCGCCCTTGCCGTCCTTGGTGACGACGACACCGCCGACGCCCTCGCGCTCCCAGCGCACTTCGCTGAGCGGGATGGCCAGGCGTCGCGAGCGGACGTCGGTCAGCGTCTCCGACTCCTGCAGCAGCGTCGGCCCTATCAGCGTGCACGGCACCGCAGTGAGGTCGCGCGTTTCGAGGGCACGCGAAAGCCACTGATTGTACTCGACGAGGAATGTGTTCAGGGGCGCCGAAAGCGGTGTGTTGGCGTTCATGACGTAGGCACCAAGACTGGTGGCCACTTCCTGGTCCTCAGTGTCGTCGCCGGAGAGCTTGCCGTCGGGGACGTGCGGGCGAAGCATGCGGATGAGGTGGTCTGATTCCCAGATCTCGAGGACGCCGCCAGGCCGGAGTAGGCGAATGTACTCGTCGACAAAGTACTGGTGCTGCAGGTTCGTGGTGGCCAGGCTCATATCCTTGACCATGACGAGGTCAAACTGCTCGGCGTCGACGGGCCAGGGCAGCTGGCGCAGGTCGTGGCTGATGAAGCGCCAATTCATCTCCGGGTCGGGCTTGGCAGATTGGTGGCTGGCACCGTGGGTGGCCGTAGCTGCCGTCATCATCGGGCCGGAGGGGGCGAGCGGGGCAATGTCGATGCCAGTAAAGGAGATGTTGCCGTGGCCGCGAGACTTGAAGTACCGATGGCACATCATGGACCAAAAGCCGGAGCCGCAGCCAATCTCGAGGACACGTTGGGGCGGGCGGCTGGAGAAGGTGGACGAGCAGACAGGGCTCCCAAAGACCTGGATGAGCAGCAAAGTGCGCATGGACTGGCGATGCAGCTCCGTTAGGTCGGCGGGCAGCGGGTAGGGCAAGCTCGTGTCATTGATGTAGGAGCGGCCATTGCGGAGGACAAAGGGCTTGGAGGTGATGAGGTTCTCGCGGGAGCTAGAGGAGGCGTCGGCGGTCGAGGACATGTTGGCGGTGGCGGCGGAGAAGGAGCGTGCAAAAAGGTCGGGGACGGACGCGGCGCCATTCATGTGCGCTGCGGTGGGAGACCGAGGCGACGTCGAGAGATTGTGGTGAGCAGCCCCATGGGCATGCTTGGAGGAAGCGACGTCGGGGAGCGGTGGGTGGTGACTGGCATCGGGGTGATGCTTACCGCGGGAGATGAGGGAGTGGGAGGCGCGCTTGAAGGCGCTGTGCTGCGCGGGTCGGGGAGAAGAGGCGGAGGGCAAGGGAGGAGAGGAGGAGGCGGACGGACAAGGCTTTTGATGGGATCCATGGTGGTGGATGTGGTGTTGAGGATGATGTGGGGTGCCTCTAGCGTCCGGGGAGGCTCCAGCTCCAATAGGGAGCGGACCGCTTGCCGTGGTGCGTGCGGCGGAGCATTCAGTGGTGTGACTGTTGCCGTTGATGTTGTTGTTGGCAGCGTCGTTGTCGTCGTGGAGGCGCCCTTTGCCTTTGCCAGCATGCTGTTGCTGGTGCTGTTGGTGACGGTCGTGGCCATGGTCATCATGGTCAAGCCCCACGGCTGCGGCGTTGGCGGGGCGGTCCGACCTTGACGGCGCGTCGTCGTGTGAGGTCTGCGATGCATGGGATGGCTCGCCGCTGCTTGAAGCTCGGGAGCTCTTGGAGGTGGATTTGGTGAGAGAGTTGCCGTCGGGATCAGAGGCCGTCTTTTTGCGGCGCGAGGGTGATGGTTGGGCCCGTGGGAGGTATGGGAGCATGCCTCTGCCCATGACGGACGGGGTCATCATGGGTGAGTACATGGCTGCTGTAGGCCTGCAGCAGCAACTGGACAGCGACTGTGGAGGAGGTACAGCGGGCCGTCGAGTTGAATTGGGGGCGAGTCAGCGGATGCAGGGGCTTTTCATCCACTGTAGTCCCGCTGAAGGTGAGGAAGCGTGGCCGGGTAAAAAGGCCGAGCACAAGTCGAGAACCACAGCGAACCCACAGAGGAGCCCAGAGGCCAGAAGCTTGGCTTTTTAGCGGTCCCGGCGCGGTTCCTGCCGCCCGCAGAGTTCCCCAATTGCAGCCAACCACAGCAAGTCAGTCGTCGTCGTCTCTCGTCTCTCTTTTCTCTTCTCCTCTCCCACGCAGGCAGGGGGAGAAGATGGGAAAAAGAGTGGAAAGTGCCAGGTGGTGCCCCAAATATGTGAGAGACAAACCGACCCTCGTCTATCCTCGGAAGCTCAAAGGTGGGATGCTGTGGTTGATACAGTCAACCCTTGTATCCCGACAATGTGGTAGCCGTCTTGGCAAGGGGGGCTGGGCAGGAAAGTAGAAGCGAATTAGTAAGTCCGTAGTTGTCCTCTCGAATGATGAAGTAAGTGTTTCGCAACGAATCCTCGAAACTGCGCAACAGCGACCAGCGCTGTCTGACGCAGTGGGTATCGCTGGTGTCAAACTGCAGCGTTGCTACCCGATGTCGTCGCTACCGGATGACGTCGCTACCGGATCTTTCTTCTCCTCTTCCGGCTCATGCGCTCTGAATGCCAAACTAATAAAAACCAGCCGAGTCGAATCTCTTGCAGACAGGCGCAGGCAAATGGGTGGTGATTGGGCTGCCGAGGCTGCCCCCCGCGGCACCGATCCAACACAAACTTTCGCACAGACACCCGCTTCGACGGGCGAAACCAGGGTCCGGCAGGAAGGACGACGTGCAGTAGTTAGCCTCGGGTTTTCCGGTAATGATTTGTCGTTTTTCTGCGATCTGATAATGAAATATTGAAATGGAACAAAGAAGTTCCTGTGCTGGGTTGATGGTGCAGGTGTGTGAATCTGCCCGTCTGGCAAATGGAGGCCACGCCAAACGGGGAACTCCAAAAGAACACAGCAAAGGGCCTCTCAGCCGCGTATGTGCATGTTGATCTTTCCCCTCTCCCAAACTCTACAAAAGGTGTGCGACCAAGCGCTTCTTATCAATTTTTGCAACCCTTTTTCCCTCTCCGGCGTCCGTGGCGTGCGGGACAACGCGGGGACGGAACCAGGCTGCTCGCCACACGACTGGATGATCAGCTTGGTGGGCACACGACTTTTGAAGCTGGGCTGGCCGCTAACCAAGCAAAGCCAAAGGTACCAGCGAGAAAACACAAGATAACGAGGCTTACTGGGGATGAGCTTGGCTTGGCTGGCTGGCTGGCTTCTTCCCATCAGCGAGTACCTTCCTACCTACCACCAAGTGACCCCTCCAACAATCACACACCATCTCGCAACAAGAACCAACCAGCAGTCGCCGTTCCTTCAACAACCCATGCTCCGGACATGCGGACCCTATCAGCGTTGGACGACCATTCTGGCTCGTGACATTCAGCATCTTCCACCTCCCTCAAGCCCATCAAGCCAACGAAACCTATCCATTCAATCGTGGCTCGCCCCCGCCCGTGATCGCCAGCACCATAAAATGTCCCCCAGGATCCAGACCCTCGGACAGAACCCGGCACACTGGGTAGGTTGGCATGGAAGCCATGTTCCTGTCTGTCCTGGTTGCTTCCGCCCAGCGTCATGGGGCTTCCATCGGACGTGCCACGAACGGTCGACTTCCGCTTTCTCACAATGCCGCTGCAGGCCTTGAGACAGTCCTACTGGTAGTTATCGGCCACGGCCTGTTTTCAACTTGCTATGCATGGGAGAGACCACCAGCACTCCTTCGGCGAACATTGGCACTTCCCCAGGTTTTACGGCCCACAAACTTCCTCATCAATACAGTCTTGCATGTTGATGACGAACTGCTGCACATAAACTAATAACTATTTAGTCCAATTTTCCTCCCAAAGGTCTGGTGCGTGTAACACTGCCATTCAGCTGCGCCAGCTTGCCACCAGTCCGCTCAGTCAGTCTTACTAGCCACGACTATACGAAGCCAAATCCCCTTTTCTTCGATAAATTTAAATCCCACCTGCTAGTTCACCCAGTTCTCGCCTCGACAGTCAGCTCGTCCTGTTGGAATAACGACATTCCTATTTAGGTCAGTGGAGATGACGCCTCACCACGCCACGCCAAGCCAAGCCATAGCTCTCAGCTGAAGCATGTTGGACCTTTGTGTCGATGCTTTGGCTAAGCTTGAACTTTCGGCCAATATCCTTTACGAAGCTAATCTACTATTTATTCCCTATACTTGATCGGACGGCCCTTTGGGCTGCTTTGAGCCGCGCAACCGTGATAAGGCTGCCAACTTCTTGGCATCAGTGTTGGCGACGGTTCTTCAAGATTGACGTCCAATGAGCTGGCGAAAGGACTTCCTCGCACTCGGATTACAACATGAAAATCATGTCCACAATTTTTTCCACCTTGCGGTTGGCTTTCATCGACCGTCCCGCTGATCTTGCCAATGATTTCCGCACAAGACTCCTCAGCGACTCGTCGACAAGGAAGAGCCCTTTCCAGTCTGTCTGTAGGGTAGGTGGGTAGTAGACTTCGACCGCCGCGATAGACCTTTGCGCTCGAATGGGTATTTAACATCCAGCATAGGCAAGATGACTATAGTTACTTGCAACGTTGGGGGTAGCACTGACTTTCTCTTCATCTTCACGGCGGCATTTCCAGCAAAAAGCTGACGATGACACAGTAAACCCGGAATCCGAAGGACTGTGGCGTTGTCGAAGCTTTCCCTTCCGGATGAAATGTTCTTTCACAGGCCGACGGTTCTTAGATGCCTCGTTTTTTTCACGCTCAAGGCCCATCTCGGGTGATTTGGTGGCGGAGATATCCCAAGGCAGGGCAGAATAGAGGGCAGATGCCCATCGGCTCGTTGATCAGTTCTTGACTGGTCAGCGCGATCGTAGAGGTCCGCCCCGAACCATTCGACTGGGGATCGAAAACCCCCTTCACCCTTCTCTCAGGAAGGCACTTGGTGTTTCGAAGCCGAAATTTTCTAGTCGGGTCAAAAAAGAGGTAGGTATATATGGAGCAAGGGGCATCACAACTCGTTGTCTGCTCACAGCTACACCGTCCTCTCGACTCCACGCCACTCCGTAGGCGCTGGCGATGAGAAATGAGCAGCAATGCTGCAAATCGGCCAACTCCAACGGTGCCCTAGCCATGATTGTACAAGGGTTGAAATTTACGTGGAGTGGTGCCGACTCTACACTCTACCTATACCATTGAGATGATCGGGCTCGTTGGCGTCAATGATCAGAACGTGGGCAGAGACCAGGCTTCAAAATGGTGAGTCCCTGTGTAGGGAGACACCAAGAAGTGTCACGAGTCGATTCGCGCGGAGATATCTGAGACAGCATCACCAGTTGATGCCAGCCACAGCCACGGCTGTCCATGCCCACGTCCTGCAAATCCGCCACGTAGATAATTTCAAGGTCTGCATCCTCGCTGAACTATCGAGGATTTCTGCGAGATGTCGATTGCACCAGTAAAACTGGCCCAGCCCGACAGACCAGGTACTTGCAAAGCCGGCCTGGCCTTTGACTGCCACTGCCGCCCACTACCCAAATTGAGCGTCTCGTCAGATTTTACCAAGACCAAAACCGCTCATATGCTGCTACGGGTATCTTTGAGGCCTCATGACCTGTTATCTGATCACTGTGCGATAGCCTCCGAGCTGGTTGCCGACAAAGTTGGTCTCGTATGTGTGCGTGCGCTATTAGGACAGAGGCCGCCGTACCAATAACGGGTGAGTTTCGATTTGCTTGATCTTCGGAGCCTCGCAACTGAGACTTGTTCCGTGAAAATCGAGAAAATTTTTCACGTCGTGTAAGATGAGTTCTCTCCTGTAGTTAACGTTAAAGGCCAGTGGGGGGATGTGCCTGCCACAGCGTAGTATTGATATGCAGGAACATGCAATGCGTCGCTTACACAGTCCCGCCATGAGGCATAAGAGCAAAGATTATTTAATTTGCTCGCAGCCTGTATTCCCTTTCATCCTGCTCTGCTTTTTTTCGGTCGTCTGGTTTTGCTGAGACCGTGATTGCACGGGGTGGTACCCGGCACCACACAGATTACACGAGTAATCTAATTAGCCGAGATACCGCGTTGCTTGTTCGTTTTTGGTGGTGCACAGTGTCAAGTTGAGAACATTTTCAAATAATTCGTGGCTGGCTAGCTGGTGTTTGGTGAGACGATTGCTGTGGTGGCGCAAGCCGTCATAGCGCTGCAGTGATCTACCTTGCGCATGGTTGCAAGATGGGAGCATTCCGCTACGTGTTCGAAAAAAAAAAGAGAAGAATTTTTTTTTTTAAAAAAAAAGAAAAACAAATTCAAGATCGATACTCATCTCGGACGATGTGAACAGGTGTAACTAACGAGTGAAACGAACGAGAACAAAGGTTGCACGTGATTTAACTGCCCAGCCACTGCTCCCAAGATTGGTCAAGTGCGGAGCATGCTGCACGTGACCTACCGCGCTTCCCATCTTCGTCCAACGCAGTTTGACTGACGCCGGCTTTGATCTGACTGATGTACCTGCCTGCCCACCTTGCCCTTGAAGCACAACACGACGCAAATCATTGACTAGACCTCGATATTCGTTATAATTCTTCTGCGCCGCGCTCTGCTGCTCGCCCCAGCGTCAAATTGAGCGCCGCTGCAAACATTCATTAGCTGTGCGTGGGTCCAACTGCCCTTCCTTTCCGCCCTCCCGCCTGGCTTGTCCTCCCCCATTCTCTCGTGCAACTCTGTCCCAGCCAGCCTCTTCTTCCTCCGACTGACCTTGCCTCCCTCTCCTATATAGTACGGACCACCCGCCACCCACCATCCTGGCCCCCCCCTCCCCGAATCTTACGATTATAGCCCGCAGATATGCCGATCTAGGCATCTGGTCTTTTGCACTCCCGCTCCTTTCGCGACAGAGAACACCGCCCCGGCTCCCGCGTCACCGCACCGCGACATCGCGCGCACTCCACTTGAGCTTTCGCAAGGCACCACCAGCCAGTCAGCCAAGCCGAGCCAAGCTTACCGCCTCTCTCTGCCTGTGCTTGTGCTCGTCAGAGGCTCTTTGCTGTCCGCCGGCGCCCCTTACGCAAAACTCATCTCGTCCTCTGTCCCCTCCTAGATTAGCGTACGCGCAGCTTCTCGCCAACCCCAATCAAGCCCATGCGCAAATGCGAGCTTCATCGTCCGACTCTCCTCATCCGTCGACAAGCATCACATATCGCCCACCGTCGACTTCGTAAACGTCTCACAATTCATCTCCAGCGACAAATGGTTGGCGATTTCAGGTTGACCTTTCAAAAACTACTAAAAACACAGCCGTCCCAATAGTCTGTCGCGCAGGATCTTTGCCGACTACTCTTGCTTTGGGACTCCATTTATTTCAGCGAATCGATTTTACACCTACCGCCTTGTCCTCGGCATGTACTCGCAGAATCATCAGCAGGGCCACGGTGCCCGGCTGAATGGTGCCGGCCGAGGAATGCCCGGCAGCATGCTCTACAGCTACCAGCATGCGCAGCACCAACACCCTTCGCAGGCTCAGCATCACCAGGGCCTGCAACACGACCACGGGAACGGCCTCGGACATCACACCTCCTTCCCCTCCGGCCTCCTCTCCTCGGCCCAGTTTAACCCGGGCCTGCAAAATGGTCACTCTGCGTCTCGTGCGGGCCCTGTACCGCAGAATGAGATGTGGGCCGAGCAGCTGCGTCTGCAAAAGGAGGCCGAACGAGCACACGCTACCATGACGGAGCATCACCAACCCCACTACTACGCGCGACTAAAAGCCTCGGAAAATAAGGGTATAGGTGGCCCGCCACCGTCCAGTGCTAAGGCGCAGACCGACGGCGAAACCGATGCTGATAGACGGAGACCATGGGATTCCAGTAAAGAGCAGCGACAGGACTGGCACAACATGGATATGAGTGGTCAAGGCCTCCGCAATCTGTCCACCGACCTATTCCGCTACACGTTCCTGTGTGAGCTCTACATCGCCTCCAACAAGCTCTCCAGGCTACCCAAGCAAATCGGTGAACTCCGCCAACTGAAACACCTCGACGTATCCTACAACCAGTTGACCGAGCTTCCGCCAGAGCTGGGCATGTGTACATCTCTGAAGCAGCTCCTGTTGTTCAACAATAACGTTGCAGACCTGCCGTATGAGCTGGGGTCCCTGTATGCGCTGGACGTCCTAGGAATTGAAGGCAACCCTCTGGAGCCCAATCTCAAGCAGGAGATCATGGACAAGGGTACACGGAGCCTTATAACCGCTTTCAGAGAGAATGCCCCAGGTATGCCCCGAACAACACAATGCAAATTTTTGATGCTAACGCGTTCATAGTCCCCCCCGAACCCGAGCCGCGCAAACAGATTGTCCTGCAAGAGGATGTTTTGGCTAGCCTCGAGCGAGTCAAGGTGTTCTCATGGAACATCTTGTGCGACAAGTATGCTACAGCGCAGCAATACGGTTACACACCTAGCAAAGCTCTGGAGTGGGAATATCGTCTTGATTGCATTCTCAAGGAAATCCGCTTCCGCGAAGCAGACTTTGTGGCCCTGCAAGAGGTTTCTGGTGAAGCGTTTAGGGACGAGCTCAGCCCCCAGCTAGCCCAGAATGACTACCGGGGCATTTACTGGCCGAAGACGCGATCGAAGACCATGTCCGAAAAAGATGCACTACAGGTTGATGGATGTGCTGTCTTTTACAACCAGAGCAAGTACGTGGTACTGGACAAGCAAGGAATCGAGTTTGCGTCGATTGCCATCAACCGACCCGACATGATGAAAGGGCACGACGTGTTCAACCGCGTGATGCCCAAGGACAACATTGCTCTGATGACCTTTTTCGAGTCTCGCGAGACCGGGGCGCGGGTTATCCTTGTCAACGTGCACCTGACATGGGAGACTAGCTTGGCCGATGTCAAGGTTGTCCAGACTGGTATACTCATGGAGCAGATTACAAAGATGGCAGAAAAGTATTCCAGCTGGCCGCCTGTCAAGGATAAACGGTTGATTGTTGTACCCAGCGAGGAGGGCAGCGAACCGGCGCCCCCACAGCCCGAACCCGGCCCGAGCCAGGAGTATCGCTCCAACACAGAGATTCCTCTGATTGTGTGCGGCGATTTCAACTCGACGGAAGACTCGTCCGTCTTTGAGCTCATGTCCACGGGCCGTGTGTCCCCTGAGCACAAAGATCTGTCCATGTACCAATACGGAAGCTTCACTCGCGATGGTATCCAGCATCCTTTCAGCCTGCGTGATGCGTATTCCTCGACGAGAGGGACCGCCGATGAGATGCCGTTCACCAACTACACACCTGGCTTCTCCGGCGTCATCGACTACATCTGGTACTCGACCAACACGCTAGAGGTTGTCGAGGTCCTCGGTGCTATGAACAGCGCGGAACTGGAGCGGATCCCGGCATTTCCCAACTGGTGGTTCCCTGCCGACCACATTCAAATTATGGCCGACTTTGTCATCAAGGGCCGTAAGGAGAAGAAGCAGAGCAACCAGGATCGTGAGCACAGCATCAGCAGCTCACGGCGCTCTTAATGTGGGAACATGGCTTGCTAAAAGGGATCTGCAAGCTGGTGTGTTTTGCTCCTTCACTATTTGACAAGAAGCAACAGCAGCAGCCGCTTGGCTCGAGGGGCAAGAATGGGTCTTCAATTGATGACATCCGATGAGTTTCGTCTTTCGTTTTTTTGGGTCTCTCTGATCTTGGAGTTTTGTTACCGGACGGCCGCGGACAAGGGTTGGAACTGGGCACGGCAAGGGAAAGGGGCGGTGGTCATCATGGTTGCGGTTGTACTTCTTTCTCGTGTCAAAGCGGAAGAGGTGGAAATGTTGAAGGAGTGAGATTCAGGGTCGCCTGCACCCCCTCCTCACTCCTTCATAAACTTGTACGAATTGTAGGAGTTGGGGATGATTTTATCTGTCTTCTTTTTATCTATCACTACTGTTTTATCTGCGTTTGGTTTCTTTATACTTTACTCTGCGCAGCATTGTTCCCCCCCCTTGGTTTTTGGTTGTTTTCTTTTTTGTTGAATCTGCTATTTTACTAGTTTTAGTTCTTTATACTCGCCATGTTGCAGCGATGGGGTGTGGCTCGCCAGAGAGGGAAACTAAGTTGGACAGCAGCGTGAATACAAAGTCACTGAACCATATAGTAGTTGAGCTCTTGAAGTTGTGCAAATGCGTTTTCTATAAATTGGCATCTGGGAAATGCATTGGTCTATTTATGTATATATACATGTTATGTACCTGCAAATGGGGCTTATACAAATGCCGTCTATCCAGCCCCAGTCAACGCAACCATATCTATGGAACACTTCGCCCCCCCCGTCTAATGCAGCAAGATGTCGTACCCGTCCTTGGTGATGCGCACCTCGTCGGCGCCGAAGCCATACTTTCGGCGGATCAGCTCGAAAATGATGAGCCCCGCGCTGGTGCTGGGCACCTGCCGGATCGCGTTCCACCAGAAGCCGCGGTACAGCCAGCGGCCGAGCGACGTGCCCTCCGCGGCGGCCTCGGCGGCGCAGCCAGCCAGCGTTTCCCGGTACGCGCGGTAGTACGCGCGCATCATGCGGAAGCGCGGAGTCCTGGGCCCCCCGTCCGGCTGCGCGGCGGCGGCGGAGGCGCGGTACCGCTGCGCCTGGGCGTCGAGGTCCTCGAGGTGGTCCCAGTGCTTCACCTGGAAGTGGGTGAGCGGGTGCAGCAGGAGCTGCTGCGCGAAGGAGGCAGCGACGCCCGCGGCGAGGAGGAACATGGGCTCGATGGCGTAGTGCGGCCGGATGAGGGTCGTCGTCGCGCTCGCGTCGCGCTCGCCGGTCGGTCGCTTCGTGGCCAGCAGGTCGACGGTGTCCTTGCCGAGGCCGCCGTAGTACCACGTCACGAAGCGGTAGTAGCCCTGCGCCTTGACGTACTCGAAGACGCTGAAGAAGACGGCCGAGCCCGCGCTGTCCTTGGCCAGCGACAGGCCCCAGCCGGCGAAGATGCCTCGCAGGCCAATCTCGCGCAGCTTCTCCGCGCCGAAGCGCCACATGCTCTGCGGCCGGCCGCCCTCCTGCCCGCGCAGCAGGTCGTTGTGGTCGTAGCGCGCCTGCAGGGCGTCGAGCGGCGCGGCGACGACGCTCTGCAGCGCGCCGGCCAGCAGCCCCGCGGTGAAGGTGCTGGTCGGCGAGGGCGGCGGGTACACGCGGCTGGTGGCGCGGCCGCTGCCCTCGTGCAGCCGGCCGAGCACGTGCAGGTAGCTGGTGTACAGGACGGCGCCGACGCCGACGTTGGCGACGAGCGGCGGCAGCACCTGGTGCGGGATGATGCCCCAGCCCTCGTGGCGGACCGCCGAGGCGAGCACGCCGGGCGTGGTGCTGCGCGCCCACAGCCACGCGGTGTGCAGCCACGTCTGCGTCCGGCTGCCGGCGGCGGCGCGTGTCAGGGCTTCGGTGTGGGCATTGTGGATGGTGCGCGCGTAGGCGAGGTAGTCGACGCGCGTGCGGAAGAAGGCCTTGGCGGGGGCCCGGAAGTAGAAGGCGACGAGCTGCGCGCTGAGGGCCCGGACGGAGGCGGCGGAGGCGGCGGTGGCGGCGTTGCTGCGGGGGGCGCGGCTGGGGAAGTCGTCGGAGTCGGGGGGGATGACGGGCAGGATGCCGGTGCGGGAGTCGCCGGGGACGAGGATCGGGTGGTACGGCGAGGGGAGGGCGAGGGCGATGGAGGCGGAGGAGGAGGGTGGCCCGTCGTTGCTGCGCCCGGGGTTCATGGCGCGGGCCGCTGTCCCATCATGCGGGTAAAAGGGGGAGAGGTGGGAAGGAGGGGTGCTGCTGGTTGGCAGAGAAGCAAGGAGATGGGGGTGATGGAGGAGGGAGTGCGTAATACAAAGTTGATTGGCGGTTCTTAAAATCTCGGGCGTGGTCGGTTTGCTGTGGTCAGCTGGGCGGCCGCTCAAACGGCAGGGTCACGTGAAGGCGTCCGAATCACCACGTTTATGGTAGCTGTCAAAAATAAAAGTCGTTGATAGATGCTTTTGTGTTTCCCAAGTTTGAAGCACTTTCTTTTATTGGCTTGTTCTATCCTTGTCTTGTTTTTCTGGCGGCCAACAGCTATTAGCAGTTACATGGTAATTATGGCGCTCGTGGCTGGCTGTACTGGCAGTGTCTTAATTATTATGAGTTTTGTATTCAGCCGTACTTAATGACTTAAGTTGGGCATTGAAATATAGATTAAATGCGCATTAATGCGTAGTTATTACAATCCACTCTGGTCCCCATTTCACCCGCAGCTGGCACGGCTGGGAAGCTTCATTGCTAAATGGTCATTTCCGACGGTGCAGCTAGGATTACTAGGCTTATAAATAAACTATAGTAATCTAAGTATTATAGTAGAGAAGAGAATAAGTATATAAAGAAAACGATTTTTAATAAATAGTTAAACTAAATCTCTATAAATCTATTATTAAAAAATATCTTTTAATATCTTTTATATTATAATAACTATTTATTAATACTTTATATAATTAAATTAACTTTCTTTATAAAAAGAAATACACTTATTATAAATTAATTAATAGTTATTAATTCTTTTAAAGAGAAAAAGAGTATAAAAAGTCTCTCTTTCTTTTTATATAATTTAGACTATAATTTAGACTATAGAGTACTTATAGAATAGTTTTAGTTTATTTACTTTTAATTTATTATACTACTATTAAAAAAGAAGAGTAAATATAGTTTAAATTCTTTATATATACTTTCTCTTTTTATCTTTTAAAGTAGTTTTTAATTTAATTAA